CCTTACTACCATAATAGCCCTCACCCCATGAGTCAGAGGGCCAATTCAGAAATTCCGTCAGTTGTTAAGTATACCTATTCCAATTATACACCCAGGAATTGGGGAAATAACCACAGGGTGGGTCTGTACAAAAAATGGGCCCACAGTGAATGAGACTTGAGTTAAGACTCCGTCTATCACCTGACCGCTGTAATCCCCATTTTGACCAGAAAGCCACAGTGGTGTTTTGGGTTCCCAGGAATTAGTGTCTATTCAGAGCCAGTGTTTAGTAATCCCCCAAAATTCTGGGCATTTTCCTTTCCCTAGTGCATAGTCACTCTAATAAATGGCCACAGCTTCCTTTGGGTAATGCTTAGAGGAATACTTGGAGTATATACTTGGAGCGAGGCTGCAAGGTCCATCCTCAGTGGGACTCTCCTCCCCTTCAATCAAGGGGCTCTGGGTCCTGAATTGACTTAGTTCTGGAAACTAGGTGAGAGGCCATGACTCTCTATTGTGGTGACAAAAATTAGGTTTTTGGCTACCAGATCTGCCTTTCTTTCTGTTATATAGATCAAGCAATGCTTTAATAGGCTGGCTGCCCATCTATTTTCTTTCTGTGATTTGGAGACCGTGATTAATTAGCCACTGCCAAAGATCCCTGTGGGCCAAGGAATTCTGATTACCAGCACATCCCTGCTGCTCCTTATGGTAAATGTGTCCACCTTGACTTTGGTAGTTAAGTGTTACCACTTGGCCTCTGGCCCTCCAGGATCTCATCATTCTCGCTGATATCACAGAGCCCATTTCAATGGCAATATCCCCCAAGGTCATATCTGGCCTACAAAAAAGAGCAACTACAAAGCTTTCCAAGGATGCAGGTGCCTCCCCCATTAACATATTTCTCAAAGTCTTAATAAAAGGTGTGTCTTCTGGACCTCCTCATGGAATCTAGCTTGGGCAGAGGCTGGTGGTAGATATGTAGGTTGCAAATGACAAATCACTCTAACGTGCTTATCTCCCTAAATCTCTGGACTCTCTCCACATCATATCCGGGAAGCTCTGGCATCTCCACCTCATTAAACATCGGCCACTATTGAGTTTGAGTTTCATTAACCAACCAAATAAACTGTTAGAGTCACATCCAGCTGCATAGGCTAACACATTAAATGCAAAATTTCTAGTAAGTGCATCCATGTCAATGAATTTGGCCCAATCTTGTTATAGTTCACTTTCAATAGTCTAACACTCTTAGAATCCATTGCCACATGTTTCCCTGGTGTCTGCCAGTATATATTAGCAAAGTCTTGTGATTCTTTTGGTGCATAAGCTATTTCCTTTTGAGTCATACTGTGTACCTGTCCCCCTGGAACATGCTGAGATTTGCCCCTAATTATGGATCCAGTGGCAATAGGGGTGTTGTACTGGGTCTTGAGAATGAGCATCCCTTTTCAAGGCATCTGCCCAGATGTAGTTATCACAGGATTTTCAGGCAAAGGACAACTAGTTTCGTCAGATAAAGGAGGGCAAGCAACTTCCACTAGCAAGGGAGGCTCAGAGTGACTGGGAGCTCAAGACTGTAGTTTTACCTGAGCGCAACCACGTGTTCTCATTTCAAGTTTCAGGGTCCCATTCTTTCCCGATGAATGCCCTAACTGGTACATGAGAAACCTGGCAAGGCTATGAATTCAAGTGCAATCCTGACCGGAACATCATTAAAACCAAAAATAGGAAAATGATGCCCCATTATCATCACTGCTACTATTAGATATTACACTTGACATTCTAGCTATTGAATAAGCCAAGAAATGGAAATAGATATCTAAATAATGAAAACTAAAATATAAAATTGTTATTTTTGTAGTCAATATGATTTTCTACCTACCCACACCCGTTGCCGTCGAGTTGATTCCGACTCATAGCGCCCCTATACAAAATATACCTAGAAAATCCAAATAAATCAATTGGAAAACCACTAAAACTCATATGAGAGGACGTAAAGAACCTAGATCAATATACAACAATGAATAGCCTTCTGACATACCATGCACTTAAAGACATGTCCAAGAATATTTACTACAGAATTGTTACAACAGCAAAAATTTGGAAACAATCTACATGTCCACTGACAGAAGCATGGCTAACTACATTTTGGTGTATCCTCACTATGAAATATCATATAACAGTTGTACTGATATAGAAAACCTTAAAGACAAAGTAAATTTTAAAAAAACAACAAAATAGAGTCTGGAACAGTATTTATCACATGATCCCATTTATGTGAAAAATAAACAATAGAAACATGTATGTTTTTAGGTGCATATGTTGTTGTTCTCTGTTAGGTGCATCACAGCGACCCCACGTGACAGAGCAGAACTGCCCCACAGGGTTTTCTTAGCTGCAGTCTTCACGAAACCAGATCGCCACGTCTTTCCCCCATGTTGTTCCTGGGTGGGTTCGAACTGTCCACCTTTCGCTTAGCAGCCAAGCACTTAACCGTTTGCACCACCAGGGCTCCATTAGGTACATAAACATGTATGTAAATGAAAATGTGGAAGAGAACTCACAAAATTGTTAAAGGTGTTTACCTTTGGAAAGGGAGGTGGTTAAGTGGGACTTTCACTTTCGTTAATCTATATATTACTGCACGGTTTGAAATTTTTCATTAAAAAAGTACTAACGTATTGCTTGTGTAATTGGGCTGAAGATCTTGGGAACACTGACTTCATCATTAGAGAGTGCCACCTGTGTGATGAAGGACAACTTTCTCTGAGACCTCTGCTTATTTGAAAGCTTACTTGGGGACAGGTATGGCTTAAGACGATGACAACAAACATTTTTCTCCATCCGTCATCCATTTGTCACTCATTTACCCACCAACTCTTCTGATTGTTGAATACCTGCTATGTATCTAACACTTGAAACAGGTGGCATGCATGATACACAATTCTTAAAGTGCAGAGGTACAGGTCACTGATTCTAATATCCTACCAGATTTTTTTTTTTTTTTCAGTAAAAGCCTGTAAAATAGCATCTACAAATTCTCCCCACAAACGTGAAACTATTTACTGAAAATCTGTTAGCTTTTCCCAAAAGCAGTCTGTATTACAAGCGGGAAATTTTTTCCTTATTCATCCAACAGGGATATTCTGAAAGGCTCCATCTGGACTCAGACATATTTCTAACCTTGGACATATTATAGATGCAGCTGGGTTTGTTATTAGTGTGAGGAATGTTAATTAAAACCATTTCAGTCACATATAATTCACACAAGAGGAACTAAATATATAGGAAAATGTTCACTTCTATTAGTGAGCAAAGAAACGTAACATAAAATAACCCATTAAATAAGCAGCACTTTAAAAAATATTTAAAATGGCCAGTGCTGGTGAGGATACAGTGAAATTAGTGCCTGCGTACATTGCTGATGGAAGTGTAGATTAGAAAGTATTAGCTACATTTATCAACAGTCACAAAATACCAGTCTCTCTGACATAACTAATCTCATGCTTGAGATTTACTCTTCAACCCTATAGGACAGAGGAGAACTACCCCATAGGGTTTCCAAAGAGTGGCTAGTGGATTAGAACTGCCGACCTTTCGGTTAGCAGCCAAATGTTTAACCACTGCACCACCAGGGCTCCAACTAATCTCATGCTTGAGAGTTACTCTTAGTAAATAATTGCAATGAAGGAAAACAGTTATTTGGACAAAGCTTTCATTATTGCATTATTGATAATAATGAAACTCTGGAAACAACCAAAATATTTGGAAAAAAAAAGGATAACATAAAATATTCTATAACCATTCAATGGACTGTTACACAACTATTTTAAATTATTTTATGAAGAGATTGAAATAACATGAGCGATGAAGCAATAGGTGATTTTTAAAAAAATCTTCCCTCAACTGGGAATGTGTTATTTTTGTAATAAAAAACAATAACTTTTATTTTTAAATTATGACTATGAAGCAAGGAAACAGTTTCTGATATAATGTTAAAGGCAGAAGACAAAATTTTACATGCACTCAAATCACAGCTATATAAAATATTTATTCAGATGGACACATTTCAAAGAAAACATGGGCTACAGTTCATGCTTTAGGCTGGTAGAATTGTGGTTGATTTTTCTTTCTGACAATTTTTTGCTTGCTTTTCTTGGTATTTTATAAGTCAGGAAAGAAAAGTTTGGGTGACCTACCTGCTGCTCCTTTTTAAGGAAAGTTTCAATCTCCGTATGAATCCAGTTCTCTTCCTCAGTTTTCATCCTTAGCTTCTGTGAGAATAATAAACAAATATCAGGAGTTCTTCCTGGCAGGGTTGAGGGTCAGAAGTTCTCAAGATCAGAGGTATAGCTATGACATAGCACAGGTTTTCTTCACCAGCTGGACTCCCAGGAATCCCGCGGTACTGCTCCAGACCTGTGATTCAGCTCATCAAAAAACCAAACCAAACCTGTTG